ATACAGCAGGTGAAGCAGGGGACGAGGAGCATAAGTGGAAGTATGCTTACAGTAGGCTTTAGACATCCAACATTTATTTCCATGGAACTAAAAGAGTCAATAGCTGGGTCACTCTCTTTCTGCTGTTGCTGGTAGGTGAGAGCTGCCAGGGACATTTTTCAAAGTATATTATAGCTTTGGTGAAAATATTAAACAATTAGGAAAAAGGTAAGAAACATGTGTCCTGCTATTGCTAAAGGGAAAAAAAAAAAAAATTATTAAAAAAAAATAGTTCAGGAAACGCAGTTGTATCAGATACTCACATAGCTTAACGTGTGAGAGAGTATATGGTATGAAAATACACCTTTTACCTTGCGTGCAACTGTTTATATATGTTACTTATGAGTCAAACCTATAAAATACTTGCCTGAAGTGAGGCGTAAGGGAGACACTACACATTCAAAGTAAAGACTTCACAACAGGCAAGAGATTAAACTGCACATAACAGAGATGAACATTATGTCAGAAGTAAACTGAATCCCCGTGCACAAGTGCAATAAGTATCCTTCCTAATAAAGGGAAGCTATATCCTCAATACAGTATTCAGAGCAATGGAGAGTTATGCAGTTCACAAGGCATAAAATAATGTCCTTTCATATGTGGCAACCAAGGAGCTCTGCAGCAGGAAAGATGGCTCTATTCTATGGATGGCACATGCAATTTTTTCCCCCACACTACAAATGACACAAGGAAGAAAGGCTACTCAGCCACATAATTCTATGTAGCTCTTCTTTTATGCAAGTCATCTGCATCATTTTGTAGATAAATGCACAGAATAAAATAAATTCATAGGCAGTAATATACAATTCTCTTCAGCATGTCCATGGGCATTGTTTCTGAAGATTATCAGAGGCCTTTTCCTTTCTGAAGGCCAGTCCTAGGCATCAATGGCTGCTTACCATTCATCCCCATGCTTGAGATTTGCAGTAATGCAGTACAAGTTTGCCATCACTTCCAAAACACTACAGGGGAAAGAAAAGCGAGTGGAGAAAGAGAAAAGCAACAAGGGGTTAGATTACCAATGAAGCAGTCTATTCATGAATTAAACTATTACTATTGGACAAACGCAACATGAAACAGTGTCACCTGTTAATATATTCATGCAATGTTATCCATGATGTTACAGAAATTCATGATGTCACCACTTTGGGCATGGCAGGCATATAGCAGATTTAAAAAGGCAGACAAGGGTACAGACAGTTTCTACTAAACAAATATTAAGAAAGAACAACACTCAAAACTAAAGTCACCTCATAGAGTGTCCCGACTTCCTGGTCTGGAGAAGGAGCAAAGGACTGATTCACATATATAAACTGTGAGGGAAGAAAACAGAAGGTGAAAAAAATCTGCCTGGTGAGTTATCTTCCTATCTACGAGGAGCACTTCTTCGACCCTATGCCCCTGTCAGGGATGGGGTGAAGTTTACCTTCTGTCCACAGTATTTACCTCTCTTTACACCTTCAAAGTTCTGCACAGAGCCACCATCATTTACAGAGAGAGGTACCGCATGGAACCTAGAAATTCTGTTCTTTAACTGGCCAACGGGGTCTTTGCTGAAACAACGTGAGACAACCTCGCTTCCCCAGGTCTGAGCATGCTACGCTATTCGTACTAGGACCTGCAATCAAGCACTTGTCTTGCACACTGCCATCAAGCCAATGGTCTAGTCCTCGCTCTTTTGCTTTGAATATCCAACACCAAGACCTCCTGTCTACTGCAAAATTTTCTTGCATCAAACATACCCATGGAAACTTTTATCTAGGGGTGAAAGTAACATACAAGTCTTACTGGTACTTTCAGGGCCTTGGGTGGAAGGGGCTGGAGAGGGGTAAGCCTCCCCCAGCCAGCCAGCCAGCCCTTCTGCGCTGCCCAGCCTGTGATGCCCGGGGCTCTGGCAGTGATTTAAAGGACCTGGGGCTCCAGCCGCTGCCAGGATAGCAGCGGCTGGGAGCCCCGGGCCCTTTTAAATTGCCAGGCCCCGGGGCAGCTGCCTCTTTTGCCCCCCTCTTCCCTCTCTAGTGAAGGCCTGTTAAATTGACAGCAGAGTGCTCTCCGGTCGACTTCAGTACTCCACCTCTCCGAGAAGAGTAAGGTAAGTTGACAGGAGAGTGTCTCCCGTCGACACAGCGCAGTGAAGACACCGCGGTGAGTTGACCTAAGCTACATCGACTCCATTTACGTTATTCACGTAGCTGGAGTAGCATAACTTAGGTTGACTTACCCAACTAGTGTAGACAAGACCTAAGTACTGAAAACTTCTAAGGGTACATCTACACTGCCTGCCGGATCAGTGGGTAGTGATCGATCTATAAGGGATCCATTTATCGCGTCTAGTGTAGATGATAAATCGATCCCCGATCGCTCTGCCGTCGACTCCTGTACTCCACCGCGGCGAGAGGCGGAAGCGGAGTTGACGGGGGAGCGGCGTCAGTCAACCCCATGCCATGAGGACGGGAGGTAAGTCGACCTCAGATACGTCGACTTCAGCTACGCTATTCTCGTAGCTGAAGCTGCGTATCTTAGGTCGATTCCCCCCCGCAGTGTAGACCAGGCCTAAGTATATTAAAAGAAAACCAGGAATTGGCCTCCAGGGGAACAAGAGTGTCTGAGACTGATGGTAAGACCATAGCTGTATGTATCTATATTATTATTTATCATTTGTATTACCATAGTGCCTAGGAGCCCTGGGACTTCAGTGTGCTAGGCACTATACAAATGCATAAGGAAATGCAATAGCTTTTATTTAATAGGAGGTTTTTGAGATTTTTTCCTGTATGCACTACAGGATGTGTGTTTTCCTTATGTTTTATTATATATGTATTCCACTTCCTGTTAGACAGCTGAGTTTGTGCTTAGCATAGTTAGGCTAACCTCACAGCTATGTCAATGGAAAAATGCTTCTGGTAAGGTAGCTAACTTTGTTTTTGGAGCTGGTGTTCCTACACTGATGGAAAAAACCCTTCTCTAGTGCAGGCTGCGTCTACAGTCTGGGGTGATGCTATCATAGCTATGCTGGTATAGGCTCCATAGTCAGCAAGTACAACAAGCCCCTTTTGTTCTCGAGTATCAGAGGGGTAGCCGTATTAGTCTGAATCTGTAAAAAGCAACAGAGGGTCCTGTGGCACCTTTAAGACTAACAGAAGTATTGGGAGCATAAGCTTTCGTGGGTAAGAACCTCACTTCTTCAGATGCAAGTAATGGAAATCTCCAGAGGCAGGTATAAATCAGTATGGAGATAACGAGGTTAGTTCAATCAGGGAGGGTGAGGTGCTCTGCTAGCAGTTGAGGTGTGAACACCAAGGGAGGAGAAACTGCTTCTGTAGTTGGCTAGCCATTCACAGTCTTTGTTTAATCCTGATCTGATGGTGTCAAATTTGCAAATGAACTGGAGCTCAGCAGTTTCTCTTTGGAGTCTGGTCCTGAAGTTTTTTTGCTGTAAGATGGCTACCTTTACATCTGCTATTGTGTGGCCAGGGAGGTTGAAGTGTTCTCCTACAGGTTTTTGTATATTGCCATTCCTGATATCTGACTTGTGTCCATTTATCCTCTTGCGTAGTGACTGTCCAGTTTGACCAATGTACAAATGTACAGCATCAGATCAGAATTAAACAAAGACTGTGAATGGCTATCCAACTACAGAAGCAGTTTCTCCTCCCTTGGTGTTCACACCTCAACTGCTAGCAGAGCACCTCACCCTCCCTGATTGAACTAACCTCGTTATCTCCATACTGATTTATACCTGCCTCTGGAGATTTCCATTACTTGCATCTGAAGAAGTGAGGTTCTTACCCACGAAAGCTTATGCTCCCAATACTTCTGTTAGTCTTAAAGGTGCCACAGGACCCTCTGTTGCTTTTGTTCTCAAGTTCCCTGTGGAGAGTTACCTCATCACCATACAAAGCAACTTACACAATTAAGAAGCAGGCAACATGATGCCATCACTGATCGCAGCCTTGCCAGCTCCACACGTCCCGCACTTCATCACCTAACTGCTATCCCCTTTTTTACCCTGGCACGTCTACGTGACACCAAGCAGCCCTAGTACCCGCCGCATCTTTCCCCAGCTTAGAGGATACAGGTCACGTACCAGCTGCTCCGAGGCCACCAGCTTGAGGAACTTTTTGATGAAATCAACGAGCCCCTGGATGGTGCGGGTCCTCTCCACGGTCCACTTCTTGGTCTTCATGATCGGCGTGTCCCCCACAGCCTTCAGCAGGACGTCAACTAGGGCGAGAGCAGAGACTGAGCGCGGTGGAGGGGGCGCGAAGGAAACCAGCCGCTGCGCACCTGGGCAGAGGCAGGAGCCCCGCCCCAAGCCATAGGCAGCCCGCCTCAGAGACAGCTCAGCAGCTACAGACCCAGCCCCGCCCAACCCTTCGTGCCGGGACAAGCTATTGGCCGCTGTCCTGCTGTCCCACCCGCGGCCGGGAGATACCAACGCGCCCGTACAACAGGCCTGGAGCATTTCCTCCCCTCCCCCGCCGCACTCGATCGTATCCTCTGCCTTTTCCTAATTGGTTAAACTAGCTGAAGTAGGCGGCTCACTCTTTCCCCCGATTGGCCAATTCGCCTGGCAATCAGAGTGATCGACCGTTCTCGCCCCGCCCCCAGGGCAATAATTCCTTTCCCTATTACTTTTCTTCTTGGTGTCCTCGGCAAGTTCCTCGGTCACCGGGGAGCCGGTTGAAGGGGGAGCCGGCTCGGCAATCCCCACCGCAGCTCCCCCATCCGGGGGCTCTTCTCCACACTCGCTTCGGCCACCATCCTGAGGAGACAGAGGTAGCTGCTTCTCCACTTCCGCCATACTGCTTACAGGCAAGTAAGGGCGGACGTGACGTGAACCATATTAACTCCTGGCAGTGGCAACTGAGAGCACGTGACCGTAGGGCACTACTCCTGGCGGATGTTGACACTCGCAATGAGCCGCACCACCTTGTCAGGTGACTCCGTGTCACGTGGGTAGCGGGAACGGTTCCGTTTCCGCTCTGGGCCCGAATAGTGGGGGAGCTGCTGCTAGTGTGAAGGGGGAGGGGCAGAGCTCGCAGTGACCCGGCCGGCTGGAGCGGCCTCCCCCTGCCGCCTCACCATGATCAAAGCGATCCTCATCTTCAACAACCACGGCAAACCCCGGCTCTCCAAGTTCTACCAGCGCTATGTACGGGGGCGTGCGGGGGGCGAGCGGGCGGGGCCAGGCCTGGGCCCAGGGGTTATGTACAAAGGGGTCTCTCTCTGAGGTGTCCTGCACTAGGGGAGCGGCCAGATCTGGGCCTCAGGAGGCTGTTGAGAGGCGGGGTGGGGATGGGGATACGGGCAGTAGCGAGGAGAGGGAAGGGCAGGGCAGTGGGTCTGTGCCTTGGACTGCCTCCCCCATCAGGGTGTAGCCCCTGCTCTGGGGGACGGTGCAGTTATTAGACCGCAGGCCTGTGGGAGCGCAGCTCAGAGGTGACCCCTTGTCACTCTGCCCCCTTCCCAGCAGCTGCCGGTCTGAGCTATGGGTCCAGGCGGCTCTTGTGCAGGGTGGCTGATGCAGGCTCCCTGTAGGCTGGGTGGCGACTTCTCACTGGTAGGTGGTTGGATATTGGAGGGTCTTGGTGTCAGCGGGCATTAATGTGCTCTGGGTCTCTTTGGGGTTGGTGGCCCATGCCTGACTTTAGGGCTTGTCTGCACTAGGATGTCTTATTGCTTAAACTGTATGGGTATAATTAAAGCAGTAACCCTCCTAGTGTAGATGCAGTTAAACTGGTATAAAAGTGCTTATACAGGTATAGTTTATTCTATATTCGGAAGGGAAATAAATTTTACCAGTTTTAGGCATCTTTGTACTGTTGTAACTGCATCCATAGTGGGCTTAAAATAGTATCAATATAATGATACAAATCACAGCCCTATCTGACATACCTATAGTGTAGTCCAGAGCTTAGAACTGTATCTACAATACAGTAGTTGATTATGGCAGTGTAAATTAGCCAAAGTCATGTGTGACCAATACTGAGCTCCCAGTAACACTGATTGATAATGACTATGTGATAAGCTGGGATGATTTTCCACTACATTGATTAGATGCAGACCTGGACCTGAGCTAAATACCCAATTCTGATCACCTTTTAATTTTTTGGGGGGGTTGGGGTCTAATTCATTTCCAAATTTGGTAACTTGGGATCTCTTATAATTTGGGGTAAAAGGCAATGTTCCCTCTAATTTTTTACATCCATGTGCTGAATGAATTTTGTAATGTGCACTAATATGGAGATGATGTAGGGTGGGGCTGAGGGGTTTGGAGTGTAGGAGGAAGCTCGGGGTGAGGGGTGGTGAGGGCTCTGGCGGGGCGTGCGGGCTTGAGTGGGGCTAGAGGTGTGGGCTCTGCGGTGGGGCTGGGGATGAGGGGTTTGGGTGCAGGAGGGTGCTCAGGTCTAGGGCAGAGGGTTGGGCTTGGGGTGCAGGGAGGTGAGGGCTCTGGCTGTGGGGGTGGGCTCTGGGGTGGGGGCGGGGATGAGGGGTTTGGGGTGCAGACTGCCCTGGGGCTGTGACGGAGAGAGAGGACTTAGAGGGAACTTAGGTAAGAGAATGTTGGACAGACAGAGGATGGACACTGATAATAGGTTTCATGTTAAGGTTTTTAGTGGAACTGTGGGTTTCTAGTATTTCAGACATTAAAACAGTAGTCGTAAATACTCATTTAAAATAGTTATGTCTGTTTAATGTGTTTGAATCGTAATTCTTTTAAAAATTTAAAATTAATTTAAAAATCATGATGGGTGATAACGTGGTTTATACTGTTTTCTTCTGATATGCCATACTGTCTTAAAATTAGAGATGCGATGTAGAGACGTTATATGTTCTTCTTTGAAATACAAGAAAATATATTCAAATGAATTACTTTTTCCAAAGTACTTTTTTAACCTCTTATAACCTAATTGATTCAGAGCTGACCAAATTTATAAAGACACAGAGCTCAGCCATTTGCTGTTCCTTTTTGCACACCATTCCAAAATATTGCACCAGCCTGTATATGAAATAATACTGAGCAGCTTATGTCCAGTACTGTTAAATAATTATTCTAAACCAAGTGGGTTTTTTTGAGAGATGACTTTACAAAAAAAAAAAAAAAAAACGCTTCAAGCCCCCCCCCCCCCGACAATTTTGTTTGACCAAAAATCATTCATACACTACTTCTATCATAAACAGTTCAATTTCAAAACAAAATTTATTTTAAAGGTGAAGGAATGTAGAATTCTGACTTCCAATAAAAGTGATTTACAGCTTTAACTGTGGAGTCATTACTGCAGATTCATAGTAATTGTCTAAAATATTGAAAAAAGAATTAAAATCTTAGATAATATGCTTTGGAAAGTTTTTACGCTCCTTTCTGTATCTCTTGTGCAGCATTATGTGTCTCTTTAGTGACAGAGATGCTAGCATTGAGAAGGTGAGAAAAAGGCTTAAGGCCTTTGGTAGAGGTCAGTCAGCAAATTTTTTT